TTCTGGACCTAACCAATAGCGATGTAGCCTTATGAGAGGGTCCGACAACACTCTCCCCAGCATCGACACTATGTAGAACTAGGGTGAAGCAGCTTGTCCTCTCTCTGCATAACCCCTTAAATACAGTGAGCGGCCTCCTTACAAACAAACACAGAGAATACTGGAGAAACTCAACTGGTCTGGCAGTGTCTGGAGACAGATAAACTGAGTCAACCACCCCTGTCCCACCATCTCCTCCATGTCAATCACTGTAATGTGCCTTTAGGAAGCTATCATCATCTGAAAGATGCCCAAAAAACAGAAGCTGTCGGGATAAATAATGTCTATTTATTAGGTGTCGGTTTCGATCAATATCCATCAGGTTTGTTCAGAACGTAGCTAAATGACACTGTTAATGACTGAAGCCCTCAGAGGTGCAGGAGAAGGCCATTCAGCCCTTTACTTGTTTTGGGCCATTTACCGTTTACCCCATCTCCTCTTTCCTGCTCTATTCCCATTCCCCCATGACAGTCAACGAACCAGTGCATAACATGGTACTGAGGCTAACAGCAACTTGACTGCTGAGGGCAAGCTGCCCTGATTGAGGTGAGGTTGTATGGGCAGGGAATGGGGGTATTACATTGCCCATGGTGAGGCTACAATTGGTTCAGTGTCTTTTAAGAGCCTACAAAACAGTAGGCTATCAGCCCCGTAAGTCCACTTCCTCCATTTAGTGAGATCATGACTGATCTTCTACTTTAATATCATTTTCCTGCACTCTTCATCATTTACATTTTGGTTTTTTTTTCCCCCTGTAGGAGCTAGAAGTCCTTAATTTTTTTAATTCATTCATGGGATGAGGGCAACACTGGCTAGGCAGCATTTATTGCCCATCCCTAATTGCCCAGAGGGCAGTTAAGAGTCATTGCTATGGCTGTTCAGTCACATGTAGGCCAGACCAGGTAAGGATGGCAGTTTCCTTCCATAAAGGCCATTAGTGAACTAGGTGGGTTTTCCCCCCTCACAATCGGCAATGGATTCATGGTCATCATAGACTCTAAATTCCACATATTTATTGAATTCAAATTCCACTATCTGCCATGGTGGGATTCAAACCCAGGTTCCCAGAACATTATCTGGGTCTCTGGGTTAACAGTCCAGCAGTAATACCATTAGGCCATTGCCTCCCCTTGTGAGCTTTGCAGAGTGTGGACATCAATCTAAGGATAGAATGGGTTCCATAACTGATAATGTCTGTGTCAATACTTTAGATGGAACTTTTTGCTCTCTAAAATATTCAGGTTTAAACTCTTCAAACGGTTTCTGGGCTCTGACCCCACCAGTGTCTGTGAGCTGCCTATCAGTGCCATCTTCCCAGAGGGAGCCAATTACTCCAACAGTTGCACACCTCGCATATCCTCCACCCCACCCCCAAATTATGGGCCACGGGGCAGACAGCACAGGCAAGAGGGCAGTGGGTAAACACCAGCACCATCGTGCTGCTTACAGCTGGAAGGGGAGGAACAAGGGGGTGGCATGGTTATCAATTTGTAACCATCAGCCTATCCCTGCCACCCTCTACCAGATTTATCCAGCACAGACATGATGGGCCAAAGGGTTCTATGCTGTAACATTTCAGTGATTCTGTGGGTGAGGTGAATCCACTTCAAAACCTGTTCTTGGAGAGCCCAATGATGGTTAGTGTTTTTAAACTATCCTCGCAGAACGTGGGTGACATTGGCTGGGCTAGCATTTATTGTCTGTCCCTAATTGCCCCTTGAGAAGGTGGTGGTGAGCTGCCTTCTTGAACCGCTGAAGTTTACGTGCTGTAGGTTGACCATAATGACCTTAGGGAGGGAATCCCAGGATTTTGACCCGTTGACACTGAAGGAATGATGACATATCTCCAAGTCAGGATGGTCAATGGCTTGGAGGGGAGCATGCAGTGGCTGGTTTTCCCATGTATCTGCTACTCTTCCTTTGCTGGACTTGTCCTCATAAATTCATATTCTATATTGCGGGGAAATGATGTATGGATAAAGTTGTGGGGAGGGGTTCAGCAGGGAAGGATGTTCATTGGGGAGGGGGAGTCAGTGATAGGGATTGGGGAGGGATCAAAGCAGGAGGGGTCAGTGGAAGGGGGGTCAGTGGGAGGAGGGTCAGAGGGGTGTCAGAGAGGGAGGTCAGTGGGTACAAATTGGTGGGCAGGGTTCAGTAGGAGGGGTTGAGGAGGGAACTCAGTGGAGGGGTCAGTGGGGACAGACATCAGTGGGGAGGGGTCAGTAGGAGGTGGGTCAGGGAGAGGTTCAGGGAGGGGTCAGTGGGGAGGGATTAGGGGTATCCCATCACCCTCTGCAAAATCTTAGACCCTTAAATAAATAGATTTTTGCAAATTACTTCAATTAATGCCTCAAATATCTGCTGCTGATGCTTACTGCATTACATCTGTGTCTTTGACACTGCCTGACACCCCTCACAAATCCCTACTCTCATCTCCCAAAGCAAGGGCACTAGAGGTGGGGAGAGGGGTGAATGTGGTTAGGGGGCTGAGATAGTGCGGGACTTTCTGAACTTCCTTCTGGCCATCCATCTCCAACTTGTGTCAGTGTCCAGTCCTGCCCACACGCGGCCTGCTGAGGGAGCTGCAAGGAGCTGCTGTGTGTGGAATGTCAAAATTAGGAGAGAAGCTGGAATAGTTCAACGGTGGCTGTCGCCTCGCCTCGCCTCGCCTCGTCTCGTCTCGTCTCACCTCACCCTGCATCACCTCACCTCACCTCGCCTCGCATCACCTCACCTCGTCTCACCTCACCTCACCCTGCATCACCTCGCCTCGCCTCGCCTCACCTCACCTCGCCTCGTCTCACCTCGCCTCGCCTCATGTCACCTCACCTCGTCTCACCTCAATGTGCTCTTTACACGTTTATAGGAGACATTTCTTCACCCAGAGAGCGGTGAGCCTGTGGAATTCATTACCACAGGTAGTAGTCAATGCCAAAACATTGAATATATTCAAGAGGCGATTAGATATACCACTTGGGGTGAATGGGATCAAAGGTTATGGGGAGAAAACAGGATTAGGCTATTGAGTTGGACGATCAGCCATGATCACGATGAATGGTGGAGCAAGCTCGAAAGGCCAAATGGCCTTCTCCTATTCTTATCTTCCATGTTTCTATGTGTGTTTCTATAATAACCCTGATCCCTGAGAATGTGGGAATCAATCCCCACGATAAGGAAAAACAGTGTTTCTGAAATAATTTGTACTGATTTAGGACCACAATGACACATTGCATTTACATAGCACCTTAAGCATTGTAAAACACCTTAAGGGGATTCACAGGCTTATGATCATGCAGTATGATCTATGATCTAAAAGGAAGCATTAAGATAGTAAAACAACAGCTTGGTTATCAGGGATGTTGTATCTTAAAGGAAGAGAGACAGGTATTGAGGTTGGAAAGATTTTAGGACTGAAATCCCAGAGCTTAGGGCTTCAGGCAGCTGAAAGCAAGGCCACTATCAGGAGTGATTAAAACCCAGAAATCAAAGCCAGGAGTTCCAGCATCCAGTAACAAGCACAGTCTGTAGGAGGAGCTGAGCCCTATAAAGGCTGCAATGATGCCCCAAAATGCCAAAACCTTGAACTGCAGCTAAAGTCCCAAAGGCTGTTTAGAACTAAAGCCCAAATGACAGGCAAAACTCATCGGTCAGAAGGTGAATAAAATAAAGAGAACAGCACACACAGTGAAAAGATACATAATACATTGATCGTATTTCATACGGACATACACAGGAACAGAAACTATTAATTCCAAAGATACTTAATCAGTTTGAATGGGGGATAGTGTTTAGTTCAATCCCTGATCAGGTTCAGCTTTGTTCCTCTTTGATAACTGTCAGAATAAGTTATTTATTATTTAACACTTTTCACTTGAAGCAGCCAAGCAACTGTAAGGCTGGATTGTCAAACGGATGGAGGTTAAGGTTACAGTAAGAATGGCAACTTTCCAACTTTTGTAGAGGTCACTCATCACCCAAATACACAAGAAGGCTCTATATGAATGCAGAGAGGTGCGCAGTTGGATCCTGGTCTGTAGAGAGTTAGCTGGCCTCAGTGTTTGGGGAGCAAGGTGACAAGATTTCTCAGTGTCTGTCGAGGACAGACAGGGAAATCATAGCCGCGGAGAGGAGGGTGAACTAACTCCACAGTGGTCGTTACCTGTCACCAAGTCGCCCTTTATTTATACACAAACTGTCCTTTACTCTAGTACTGCCTTTTCAGAATCTCTGACACTGTTTTTTTAATGTAACCTATTTTGCTAATCAACCTGTTCAGATATGTAATTACACATCTCTGGAGCAGATGGAACTTGAACCCAAGTCTCTTGGTTCAGGGATAGGGACACTATCACCATACCACAAGAGGGCCCTGAACACTCCTGTTTATATCTAGCAGCCAAGGCTCCCTGATTGGACCAGGTTAACAGCCCCATTCAGGGAAATCATATACTATGAGGTCCAGCTGGCTGATCTCATTACAATCACTCCAAGGGGACAGGTCAGGGGTGACACTCATTCGCAGAACCTGGTACTAAAGCTTCCCTTTACAAATCATTGACTTCAATTTCCCCAGTATATACTTTACAAAAGTCACATTACAAAGTTTCTGAGGTACAATTTATTTAAAAGTAAAAGGAATCTGATAATTTCATGCTGGCTTCGCCTGAGATGCAATTGCAAATCTAAATGAACCTTTCAATCAGCAAATATTTGCTTATCTGCAGCAGTTATGCTCTAAATGACCTCAGGATTTACTGCAAACTGAGCTTGAAGCTTTAAAAAAGGCAGGCCTCATTAAACAGAGCTCACCTTCACAGCAGAATGACACACAACAAGTCGCACAGTATAACACTGTGTTGTTACAGCAGTAATGAGCGCAATTCTCATGCAGACAACATTTCGCAGCAATTGAAGCTGACGTGTTAGTGTGTTCTGTGACATGCCTGATCTGTTTCCTTCAGAATTCAAAGAGTGCTTCTCACTGTATGACAAGAAACGTAAAGGCAAGATATCTGCTGGAGACCTGATCACAGTTATGCGGTGCCTGGGTACCAGCCCGACACCAGGAGAGGCGGGCAGACACCTGCTGCATCATAAAATAGGTAAATGCAATTGTCACCTAAAATCCGTAGCTCATAAACGGGCCATTCGGCCCACCTCATTTGTACTGGTATTGATGCTCCCTCTGACCCTCCTCCAACCCTTCTGCACCTAACCCTATCAACATAATGTTTTATTCCAATCTCCCTCATGTCCTTATTTAAGATCCCCTTAAATGTATTTGTACAGTTTACTTTGACCACTCCTTGTGCCCATTCTAAGCACTCTCTGTGGAAAAGTTTCTCCTGGAGTTGCCATTGGATTTATTGGTGACTATCTCACTTCAGTATCTCCCAGTTCTGGTCTCCCCCACGTGTGGATCACAAGATTGTTACGATGTAGAAAGAGGTTATTCAGAGCATTGAAACATCTTCTCTACAAGGTCCTGTCTCATTGGATCATGTGGCAGCTGCAAAGATATAGTCTTTCAAGAAAAACCTCACAAATTGAATATTGAGCAGAATTTAACAAAACTCAACAGTTGCTTGATTGTGATTCTATTTTCTGATGGGGCTGAATGTGTTTTTTATTTGAATTATAATAATTCTGTGTTTCTGACCGGTTCTGGGCACTGCAATTTAGGAATGATTTCAAGGATTTGGAGAGAGTACAGAAAAGGTTTATGAGAATGGTTCCTGAGATGAGGAACTTCAGTTCTGGGGATTGATTGGAGAAGCTGGGAGTGTTCTGTGCGGAAAAAAGAAGGCTGAGAGGAGATATGACCAAAGTGATTCAATCATAAAGGGTCTGGACAAACCAGGAGTAAACCAGGAGAAAATATTTCCTCTTGTGAAAGGGTCAAGAATGAAAAGGCATAGATTTGACATAATTAGTAAAAGAAGCAAGAGTGATTGAGGAAATTTTTTTCACGCAGTGAGTGGTTGGGGTGTGCAATGCGCAGCCTGAGGGTGTGGCAGAGGAAGGTTCATTTGAGGCTTTCAAAGGGGAATTAGAAACTTATTGGAAAAGAATGTGCAAGGTCACAGGGAGAAGAGTGGCACTGAATGAGATGTTTACTCATGGATCCAATGGGACATAATGGGCTGAGTGACCTCCTTCTAGAACATAGAACACAATACTCTATCTACACATAGTACAGTCACTCTATCTATGCCTCTCAGCATCTTGTAGACCTCTATAAAGTCACTTCTCATCCTTCTTCGCTCCAATGAAAAAAGCCCTAGCTCCCTCAACCATTCCTCATAAGACCTGCCCTCCAGTCCAGGCAGCATCCTGGTAAATCTCCTCTGCACCCTCTCTAAAGCTTCCACATCTTTCCTATAATGAGGTGACCAGAACTGAACTCAATATTCTAAGTGCGGTCTAACCAGGGTTTTATAGAGCTACAGCATAATGTCACAGCTCTTAAACTCAATTCCCCTGCCAATGGAAGCCAATGAAATGGAACAAATCTGTGATTCTGTACTAAAGCAGAGAAAAGTACCAACAAAGCTCTGAGGTTTATTTCTGGAGGAATACAATTGAAAAGCAGAGACACTATGTCACATGCAGAAGCTTGGACAGATTGGACAGACACTTCACCTGATGAAGGGGCAGCGCTAAGAAAGCTTGTGATTGTAAATAAACCTGTTAGACTATAACCTGGTGTCGTGTGACTTCTGACCTTGTCCACCCCAGTCCAACACTGGTGCCTCCACATCTTAAATGGCCCAGCAAGCCACGCGGTTCAGGGGCAATTGTGGATGGACAATAAATGGCCCTGCCAACCATCGCCACATCTCATGAAAGTGTGCAAGAAAATAAAACAGTGAAACATCAACCTGCGTTTCCTGTTCCAATACCTCTTTGAAATTGAGAGTGGAGTCAATGTGATGCCTCAATGGTGGAATAGTCCATTGACACTCCGGCAGGATTCCTGGTGTGAAGGGGTGCTGGGAAAATAGTGGGAAGAGAGTCGGGGTGGCTCACCAGCTCACTGCTCTCACTAGGAAAGTTCCCTGGAATGGACCAGTGTGGATTGGGTGTAAATTTACAGACAAAAGCAAAGATCTTTCTGGTGCCCACTGGCATTTTGCACTTGTTCCTGTTGCTTTTCTTTTTAACATACGCATTCACAGAATGAAGGTGTCGCTGGCTGGGCAGCATTTATTGCCCCATCCCTAATTGCCCAGAGGGCAGTTAAGAGTCCACCACATTGCTGTGGGTCTGGAGTCACATGTAGGCCAGACCAAGTAAGGATGGCAGTTTCCTTCCCTAAGGGGCAGTAGTGAACCAGATGGGTTTATCCAACAATCAGCAATGGATTCATGGTCATCATTAGTCTCTTAATTCCAGATGTATTATTGAATTCAAATTCCACCATCTGCCATGGCAGGACTTGAACCTGGGTCCCCAGGACCTTACCTGGGTCTCTGGATTAACAACTCAGTGATAATACCGGAGATAGTAGGAACTGCAGATGCTGGAGAATCCGAGATAACAAGGTGTAGAGCTGGATGAACACAGCAGGCCAAGCAGCATCAGAGGAGCAGGAAGGCTGACGTTTCTGGCCTAGACCCTTCTTTATCCAACAATCCAGCTCTACACCTTGTTATCTCAGTGATAATACCAGTGGGCCACCACCTACCCTAATTAATTCTCCCCTAATTTAATTCCCCAGTGGGCAGGTCGCTCACCAAGCCCATGAAACAATGTTGACTGGAACTGGGTTCCTTGGCTTTAAAACTCAAGCTGTAGAACACCAACACAAGACGTTTGTGTTGAAGATCATTGATCTGAAGTGTTAACTCTGTTTTCCACTGCCAGACCTGTTGAGTTTCTCCAGCTTTCTTTTGTTCATACCCACAAAAGCAAGCTGGCTCTGCTAAACCATTATAAAACCACTAGTCAGACCCAAGTTGGATCACTGTGTTGAATTTGTGACACCAGACTGTAGGAATATGTTTGAATTTCACGGAGACATGACCAGGAAGTAGGGGAATGTCAAGCAGCGTGTCTGGCTCATGCAGGGAGATGGAACTGACTAGTGGGGCTAGGGGGAGGGGTGTGTGTTGGGAGTTTGGTGGGGTGCGGGGTTTGCAATGACAGAGCCGGGTAAGGGGGAGAGGAAGCTGCTCAGCATTAATCTGCTGCCTTTTCTTTAACCAGAAAGAAATGGTGAACTGGATTTCTCAACATTCCTTGCCGTCATCCACCAGCAGAGGCAGCAAGAGGATCCACAAAAGGAGATTCTGGAAGCTATGTTGATGACAGACAAACAAAAACAAGGCTTCATTACAGCCACTGAGCTGAGGACCAAACTGACCCAACTCGGCGAGAAACTGACAAACCAGGAAGGTGAGAAACCACAGTGCAAACTCTCTTTTTAAAATCTCTCTACAAACATTTATATGGTACTTTTCGAATACACTTGTGATGTACGGATTTTGCACTAGTGTCATGTCAGTTTTGGTCTGTTTGTGTGTGTCAGGGGATTTAATTATTAACTTGAAAGCCTTTCCGAATCCATTTTTTAAAAAGGTGTCAGAATTGTAGTTTTTGGCGATTAATGAGAATTTGTTTATACGGGATAGTTTTTAATAAGTGAACAAAGTAAAGTGTAGTGCATTAGGCTTCAGTTAGTAGGATTCGGAATGGGGTTTTTCTTCAGCTTAAGGGGAACACCAGTAGCTTGAAGAAATCTTTTAGTCTCAGATAGCAGGGGTCCTGGTTGAAGCCAGATTTATCAAACAGTTTTGCCTGAAACAAGGAGAGTGTTTAGAACTGTTAAGAAGTAGATTGCCTCAGTGTAAGGAATTTAACAGAAAGCTCGAGATTAGAAGTGTTTAGTTAAAACCGTTAAGGCTTATTTGAAGCTCAGAAATTCTAGTTCAGATGTATAATGACTCAAGGAGGAGTCTTGCAAGTTCACCAGATGGAGAATTGACATAACAGTTAAGTTAAATCCAATGAATGTGATAAAGAAGAGTCTTTTTCCTGGTATGAGAATAGTAACTAGCTGCTATTGGGACTAATAATATTCTGGGCTTCAAAATCTTTAATCTTGTGTTTAATATATAAATGTTTGGTTTATTTTATTTTAGCTTATAATAAACTTCTGTTTTACTGGTAAAATCAAATCTACAACATTGCGCGTGTGTGTTTCAGTAAAACATCACCTTGTTAAAGTCAAAAAACAAAATATGGTCTATCAAACTAGATCTCAGTCTGGCATCTGACTTGTCCAGTAACGACAGCAGCTGGATCATAACACACTTTACTGGTGGTGAAGTACTTGCTGAACTGTACTCACTATTGTCTGAACTGCAGCAACCAATTTGTGCCTGGCAAGACCCCACAAACAAGCAATTAAAGACCAGAAAACTGCTTCAGCGATGTCAGTTAAGGGATAGATATCAACCGGCTCACTGGAGAGAACTCCCCTTCATCTTCTTTGATTGTGCTGTGGGATCTTTACACATTCACACAAGAGGGGAGATGCAGCCTCGATTCATTTACTCTCTCCACCAGTTGGTACCTCCAGCAGAGCAACATCCCTCTGGCCTACATTTAGCGTAAGCCTGGATTCTGTGCCTGAGTCTCAAACCCACAACCTCCTGTCCCGATGATGTATGTACTGCCACCAGGCTGAAGCTGACACTATCTCTTGTCCTCATGCCTCCTGTTGCAGGTCTGACAAAGGCCTGGAGTCTACTGTCACCATCTCTCCCTCTACACTCTGGAAATAAGAGGAGCTTGGATGAGAAATCAGAGGAATAGTCAGTCCAGACCAGACTGATTTCACATTCATTCAATTGGTTCTTCAGATGAGAGGATTGTCTTAAAGATGAAGCTACGTAAAATCAGACCTATACTCACTGAGGTTCAGAACAACGAGAGATTATCTCACTGAAACAGTAAAGGCCAGACAGGATCACAGCTGAGGTGCTGTTTCCTCTTGCTGGAGAATTGAACAAAGGGAAACAGGCTCAGGATAAAAAGTTGAGGGACTGAGGTGAGGGTCTTTCAGGGAAATCGTGGTAAATGAAGAGTGGATGGGAATGTGGAACTCAGACAGAAGATCTGAATGGCAGAATTGGCTGGAGAGCTGAATGGCCTTCTCCTCTTCCTGTTTCTTATGTTCTTCAGTTCCTACAAGAGTCCGTATTGTTGGGAAAAGAGAAGGAATTGGGAAAAGGTGTTGGGTAGAGGGGTCAGATAATACCATGGTCTTTCAATGAGTGGACTTAATTACAGGTCTTTCCCAAACAGCAAAGAAACAGAGATTACAATGACAAAATATAAATGCTTAACTAAACTGTGTACTTTGATCTTACAGTTGATGACCTCCTGCAAGAAGCAAATATCCCCCCAAATGGGATTGTGAAATACGAGGACTTCATCCAAAGCATCACTCTCCCACACACAAATTACTGAACGTCCACCAAATGATACACTGAGGAATCAGGATACCTCCGTTCAAACTCTCCAGGTTAAATTGCCAAAATTATTCACTGATTGATTCCACTGCTATGTAATTGAAGACCATTTGTAAGCACAATTACCAAGATAAATACAAGTAGCCCTCGTAAAATAAAATAAGCGGCACGGTTGTCAGTGGTTAGCACTGCTGCCTCACAGCACCAGGGACCTTGGTTCAATTCCACCCTCGGGTGATTGTCTGTGTGGAGTTTGCACATTCTCCCCATGTCTGCATGGGTTTCCTCTGGGTGCTCCAGTTTCCTCCCACAATCCAAAGATGTGCAGGTTAGGTGGATTGGCCAGGTTAGATTGCCCATAATGCCTAGGGGTGTGTAAATTAGGCAGATTAGACATGGGAAATAAAGTGTTATGGGGGATGGATCTGGGTAGGATGGTCTTCAGAAGGGTGGTGTGGACTTGATGGGCTGAATGGCCTGTTCCCACACTGTAGGGATTCTGTGAGTTGAAAGAGTTCATTTGGTCTGTCTAAGAAGTACAACTTTCTTCTTGCTCGCAGTGTACAACTCTCTCAAACAACTCAAAGGCTCTCCCTCTCTGCGACTCTGCCCAGATTCTAGTCATAGAGTCATAGGGATATCCAGCGTGGAAACAGACCCTTCAGTCCAACTCATCCCTGCTGACCAGATATCCTAAACAAATCTAATCCCATTTGCCAGCATTTGGCCCATATCCCTCTAAACTCTTCCCATTCATATACCCATCCAAATGACTTTTAAATGTAATCGTACCAGCCTCCACCATTTCCTTTGGCAGCTCGTTCCATACAGACACCACCCTCTGTGTGTAAACGTTACCCTTTAGGTCCCTTTTAAATCTTTCCCCTCTCACCTTAAACCTATGCCCTCTAGTTTTGGACTTCCCTATCCTGGGGAAAAGACCTTGTCTATTTATCCTATCCGTGCCCCTCATGATTTTATAAACTTCTCTTAGATCGCCCCTCAGCCTCAAACACTCCAGGGAAAATAGCCCCAAGCTATTCAGCCTGTCTTTATAGATCAAACCCTGGCAACATCCTTGTAAATCTTTTCTGATCTGTTTCATGTTTACCAACATCTTTCCTCATAGAATCCCTACAGTGTGGAAACAGACCAATCGGCCCAACCAGTCTACACCACCCCACTGAAGATCATCCCACTCAGACCCACTCCCCCTTACCTTTCCACTGTAATCCTGCAGTTCCCATGCCTAATCTATCTAACCTACACACCCCTGGACACTACAGGCAATTTAGCACAGCTAATCCACCTAACCTGCACATCTTCAGACTGTGGGAGAAAACCAGAGCACTTGGAGGAAACCCATGCAGACACAGGGAGATTGTGCAAACTCCACATAGACAGTTGCCCGAGGGTGGAATCGAACCTGGGTCCCTGGTGCAGTGCAGCAGCAGTGCTAATTACTGAGCCACCATACCACTCCTATAGCAGAGAGACCAGAATTGAACACAGTCTTTAAGAGTCAACTGCTTTGATGTGGGTCTGGAGTCACATATCACTAGGCTACATATGACAATCCAGTAGCTGTATGCTCACCACAATCAACTTCCTAACAGCAATCCTAGCTTTGTCTTTCTGGTTGCTATCTGTACAAGCCTTGTCCTCCTGACATAGTTATGATACTATTTCATTAATATCTTAGCTGCTCCTACAGAGTTGCGCCTCAATCGCCTCCCATCAAGGTAGAGATTCTTGATGTTTGCAGCTACAAAGACAATCTGTAATTATATAGCCATTTTAACATTGTAACATCTCCCTTGATACTTCATAGAAAAATTATCACCCAAATGGGATAGCGAGCTACCAAAGGAGATGTCATTACAGGTGAGAGGTAGGTCTTATGGTGTTTCTCAAAGGGGAAGAGAGAAGTAAAGAAGGAAGGAGGATTAGGAAGAGAGTTCCACAGCTTAGTACCTTGGCAGCTGAAGACATAACCACTGCATACAGCACAGGAAAAGGCCGTTCCGACCAACTAATCCACTCTGATGCATCTTTAGCTGACTGATCAGGTGGAGGCAATGACTGAGTAGTATTATCGCTGGACTGTTAATCCAGAGACCCAGATAACATCCCGGGGACCTGGGTTCAAATCCCGCCACGGCAGATGGTGGAATTTGAATTCAATAAATATCTGGAATTAAGAATCTAATGCTGACCGTGAATCCATTGACGATTGTCGGGAAAAAGCCATCTAGTTCACTAATGTCCTTGAGGGAAGGAAACCGCCATCCTTACCTGGCCTGGCCTACATATGACTCCAGACCCACAGCAATGCGGTTGACTCGTAACTGCCCTCTGGGCGATTAGGGATGGGCAATTAATGCCGCCTAGCCAGCGACCCCCCTCATCCTGTGAATGAATAAAAGGATCCATGACTTCCTCCCACTCTACTTCATGTCATCCTTATGGGAGCCTTGTTTATAAATACTGTCCCCACACTGACCAGACTGGCGAGTGTCAGCATTCCTGAAGAAATCACGCAGCCTATCAACTCAAAGCAATGACAGGGATCTTCTTGGTCAGAGCTCACTGCAAATTCCCAGGGCTTGAGGTTTCACGATGAGCTGCTGGGATTGTCCCCCAGCAGGAGACAAACTTGTTCTGAAAAGGGACGCTGGAAGCCCATAATCTAAAGGAAGAGCTTAAGCCAGAGACACAGAAGCGGTGGGAGGTCCCGTAGATGATCACACAGAATGTCCCCTCAGCCTTGGGTAATGGGTCGCTTCAGTGGTGGAGAACTTTCAAAGGCATTCTGTACAAGTGTGAAAGTCATGACTGTAGTCAATGTTCAAAATGTTATTCATAAATTAACACATTTCATTTTGTGTGTCATTGTAACCTGAAATATGTTGAAAACTTTTAAAAATAAAGATGATTTGGTCTGAAGTGTATGCATCATTAGACCAAGTGTCCCCTCTGGGTCACCTGCTCCAGAGCAGCCAGGACCTGCTTGTGGAAAGTTTCACTCCTTTCACCTGCCAAAGGGTTGGATAGTGAGAGACTGTTCAGTAATCTATTTCGAGATTTGTTCATATTATTCAGGTGTGTTCCCCCAACATCCCTGCTAATATTCATGGAACTGTAAGTTAACAACTTCAAGAGAAAATTGGAACAACAGGTTTTCAGAATACATTATTTACAGCATAGAAAATAACCACATGACCCATCTGGTCTCTGATGCACAAGAGCACCCTCCCACCCTATTTCATCCAATTCCATCAGCATTTCCTTCTATACCTTTCCGTTTCAGGCACGTAGATACATGTAGCGATGATCTGTCTAAGTGCAACTCCCCACTTAATTTCTCCACGTCTCAAGTCTTGTGCTTCAGCGGTATGTAAGAACCTTCCAATTTCCATTTCACTGATCAATCTGACTAGGGAGAAGTTTACATGAGGTGGTTGCCCATTCCCTTCATACTGTGTAGTTATAGGAAACTCAAGTCCCCTTCTGGAAGGATCTGCCTCCTGTAAACAGTCATTATTTCTCAAGGAGGTCATCACCACCAAAACTTTATTAGTTCCGCCATTGGCTATGACTAGTAAGCCTGAGGATGGGACCCTTACCTGACTTGAGGCAAATTGAAAACAACCTGCTCTACTAGAGTCACTGAGTTTGTAATGCTTGCAGAGAGAAGTCACATGAATCTATTTGTGGTTGTGATAAAGTTATCAGATCTGAATTCAGTTTATCTGAGAGATAATGTGCCCTGAGCAACAACCTTTGCTCTCTCTTTCTCTTCTCTGAAACATATCTTATCTAAATTCCTGAGTTGCAAACCTACTGGAAGATCTGATCACTGCAAGTGGAGGATTCTTAGAGGAGAATTTCGAATCAGTGACCACAGACACCAGGAAAGGAAATTCAGCCAGCCATAACAGATTGAGGAAGATAGCCCAGTGCCAATAACTTGTGTGCAAAGAGTCTTCAGTTACTGACCAACACTTGAACAATCAATAACTAATTCTCTTTCATGAATTTAACAGTTACTTGGCCAGGGTACACTTAAAATAACATTCAACAGTATTTGTATTTGTTTGCCAGATTTGTGAGTTGTGAGTTGTGTGTGTGTGTGTGAGTGTGTGTG